TTCCAGCCCAGACATTCTATGATCTCTTCTCATCGTCCTTGGAGACTTTTTAATTTGGAAATGAACGTTGAGGGGAGTTTCTTGGCCTGTTTTCTAATTGCCTCAGTAAAATTAATTAACGAGACGGCTCATTTCCGCCAGAGCAAGTCCCGGGAGGAGACTTGGTGAGTAGCCCCAGGGCTCCAAGGACCTTCGCCTCCCCGAGTTCTGGCAGTGTCTCTCCCAGCGCACAGGCTGGGAAGAGCAGGGTCCAGCTCTTACCTGGCTGAGCCTCTCCTGGTCCCAGAGGGAGCCGATGATGAAGGCCACGAGCCGCCCTTCCTCAAACCAGCCCATGGAGAGCTCCGGGCACAGGTTCAGAAAGTGGCGGATCTCGTCCAGGTGAAGGGGACAGTCCCCGGAGACGGATATAAAGGCTGGAAGGGGATGGTGGTGAGTGTGGTGGGCAGGACTGAGGACATTTGTATGCAGAAACCCCCCCAACACTGATGTAAGGAGGAAAGCAGGCTGTCAGGGAGGGACATGGTGTGTGTCCTCTTGCCTGCTTGGTCTAAAGGAGCCCTGAGGGACCTGGATGGCTCCAGGGAGCAGCTCTGCTCCTCCAGAGGCATCTTGCCACGCCCCAGTGGCCACTTCCCTGCTCTCATTGCTGATTCCAGGGCTACAGCTGGGGGTGCTGAGATAAGCCCTTCCTCCTGGCATCTCCCCAGCTGCCCTTGCCCTTCAGAGGGGAGAGAGGAATGGGCTGCTGAGTCTGGGCGAGGGGAGCTGGGGGTGCCTGGAGGGAAGCAGGGAGAGTGCTGGGGGGATATCTCAAAGTGTCCCTCTACAATAGGAAGAAGAGTGTGGTGTCCTTCCTCCCACCTTCCCCTTCTCCAATCCTTCCTGACAGTTCTCTCAGGGATGTTTTGGGGGAGTTGCTCCCTGCTCTCCAGGCATCTCAGCCCAGGGCATCACCTCCCACCATCTCCACCCCAGATGGTTGGGTGAGCTGGGTGCTGTGGTTCTCCCACTCATTAATCACACCCTCCCCCACCTCATTAAGGAGCCCATGGTGGCCTGGCCACACCCCAGCCGCTGGCTTGCTCTTCCCCCAGGAACACAGGCATGGAGGCTTTGCCTGCGGTGAGCCCCAAGGAGCACGAGGGACCGGTGGCAGGAAGGGATGGGGCACCTCCAGGCGATGCCACCAGGCAGGACTTCCCCAGGTGGCCCCTTCCTTACCTTCCCGCTCGATCTCGAACACGCTGACGGCATCCTCGGGGCTGAGGCAGCGGAACTCGCTGGCGGGCAGCGTGTGCCGGCGCTGGCCCCCGGGCAAGCTGCGGGGGGACCTCAGGTGAACGGGCTTCAGGAAAGGCAACGCGCTGAGAGCTGACATCCTTCTTCTCCTCCTGCCCCGCTGCCCTGGCTCGGCAGCCTTAAGTTCAGCCAATCTCCTCCAGCCGCCGAAAATACCTGTTGGTCATGCACAGGATTAGGCCGCTTGCCACCCTTTTTTCTATATATATATTTATGTGTGTGTATATAAATAGAGAGAGAGCAAATAGGCACCCACAGTGACCCCATTGCTGGGCTACTGTTGCTGCAAGCTGGGCTCAGCTCAGGAGCCTGGGCTGTAGCAAACGTGTGACCCCAGGGACGTGGGGGACAAAAGGCCAGTGACCAGCTGCCAGCACCCAGGCAGTGGCACAGAGCAGGGACAGGGGCTGTTGGAGCTGGAGGAGCAGCCGTGGGACTGAGCATCCTGCCCTGGCATCCTGTCCCACATCTGCCCCAGCCCATGACAAAGCCAGGCAGCAGGATGGGCAGGAGAGCCCAGGGCAAGTCCAGTCCCTCCCTGGGGACAGGCAGGGTGGGATGTGGCTGTGGGAAGCTGAGAGGCTGCAAGATAAGCATCTTTGGGTGAAAGATATATGGTTGTATGTGAGAGAGAGGTCAGCACCAGGCTGCTGTACCCACACTGCATGACCCAGCATGGACGTGTTGTGCAGCCAGAGATAGCCCAAGCTGCCAGGACTTACTCCATTTTCCAGTTTGCTCAGTGGATAAATGACACAGCTAAGACCCTGTTGAGTGCTTAGCTCACATCCACATTCACAGACATAGCGGGGATGGGTCCGTGGCAGGACGAGTGGTTGCCTCTGTCTGCAAGCCTCTGGCATCCCATCTGTATGAGGTGCCCCCAGACTTTGCTCCCTGCCCCAGGAGCTTCATGAAGTGTGATCCCACTGGGCAGAGCCCACCCCAGGACGTGCCACCTGCAACATGGGACCCAGACCCCTCAGTTCCCCCAGGAAGGTCACCAGCACCTGAGCTCTGCCAACACCCATCCTGCACAGCCTGGCCAAATCTCTCAACCTGGATCAGAGCCTGTAGCTTCAATCTGCCTCTGGTTTCACATGTGAGCAAACCGAGTTAATAAATCCAGGGAGAACCACAAGCTGAGTGAGTAACTTTGCTAAGCACACACATCCCTCAGGCAGAAATAGCGGGAGTTGCTCCCGGAGCCTTCTGTCCATCCATCTCGGCTCAGCCCAACGTTCAGGCAATTTGCAGCCAAGCCAGGTCATTTTTGATTATTGTTTGAGAGGTGCCGGCTTCCCCTGCTAATTATAGGCTTGCCTCCAGCTAATAGGATTTATAGAAACAAAAGCATTACCAGCACAAACATTGCATGGGGCAGAACCGGCGCGAGCTGGGAATTTTCCATCCTGAGTGCCGAGGGCTGGGTGCTTGAAATGCCTGTTTTATCCAGCCCGAGGTGAGACGGGGTCGTGGTGTGGTTTATTTTCAATGAATTACTGGTTTGGCAGTGGATGTGTATCTAAGGGTTTGAGCCCGACAGGAGAAGGGGGTTTCTTTGGCAGAGGAATTATTTAATGTTCCAAACGCTCATTCCAGTCACCAAGGACTAACTGGAATGGTGCTGGGAATGATGCTGGGAAGGGGTGATTCATGCTCATGGACACCATGTAGGAGGGAAGTAAATGGGTGGCCAAGATGGGCAATGGACAGTGGGGTGCTGGGGAGGGGTCATAGTGTTTTTAGAGCTTATTATAAAATATTCTGGAACTCCTTATCCTGCTAGTTGGATTAGGAGCTCAACCACCTGGATAAATCCCAGAGCAGGCAAGAGGGTAGGCCCTGGGTACCTAAAAAATGCAGCGGTGGTTTGATCCTAAGTGGTGCTGAGCTCCTGGGGCAGGTTGTGGGGGTACTGCTGGATCGGGACCAGGGATGGCAGGGCAGAGCAGCCAGCTGAGCACAGCCTCGAGCACTGCCAACATTTCAGCTGCCATGGGAACTACGGAGCAGGATCATGGAATCCCAAACTGGTCTGGGTTGGAAGGGACCATTAAAGGTCATCTCGACCAACCCCCCTGCCGTGAGCAGGGACATCTGCAACTAGAGCAGGGTGCTCAGGGATATTTGCTCACCAATAGCTGCTGTTAAACAGTTCACTGCCCAAGAGCAAATCTTTATCCCAGATCATAGAAAGGCTGGAAAAAACTGAATAGCAGAAAGTCTCTACAGGGACATCCACAAAGCTGGAGGGTTCAAGTGCAAGTGGCTCCTCTGTTCCTGTTAGAGACAGCCAGGAGAGGGGAATCAGATCCCTCCAGCTATGAATAGAAATTTCTTGAGAGCCCAACCAGCAACAGCCCGGAGCAGAAGTCAGTGATGAGGAAAGGCTGCTGCTTGGCTTGTTTTCCTCGTATTTTTTCCCCTCCAGCACTTTATTCCTGGCAAGCCAGGTTATGCAGCTGGAGGGCTGTTATATTTGTGTTTGTTTTCTGGAAATGAACTTCTTGCTTTGCTTCTGAGCTCCACACAGATTCAAAAGTCTCCTGGGGTGGGGGAGATACACAGAGCCTGCAGAGCGCAGAGGAACCAGCTGTCCCCCCCGAGCCAGCCTTGGGCACTGCATGGCCGTGGCAGCACCAGCACTGCTGTTACATCTGGGAAGGATCCGACCTGCAGAGGTGAAGGAAACTCCCCCTAGGTCACAGAGTAAAGCAGCAGAACCAGAGTAAGGAGGAAAATCTTCTCTCCATGGCTCGAGACATCTGTATTCCAACGCTCCAACACGGTAGCCTGCACATTGTTCAAGTAAGTCACTTATACCCCAGGCTAAATTTTGGGCTGCAACTCTTTACCAGACCTGCCTGAGATAAGCCTGCTACATTTATGCATACATAAATGCTCACTTTCAAAATTCCCCCTACCCAATTTGTGTTTGTGCACTAGAGACCAAAGCACACACGTGGGCCAAAGGGATGCTCACGTGTAAATAAATAGGTAACTCCACAGTACTGCTCCAGTAGCATCTTTTTAGTGTTATGAACATCTGCCTGGATTTGGAGCTTGAATTTTTAAATGACTTGGTAGTAAGGAGGTATTCACCCGGTTTTGAAGCCAAATATTCTTTTCAAAAGACCTTGAGTTCTTCCCACACCCTGAACACAGAGAGTTTCAGTGAAAAGAGTCCCCACACCCAGGTTTTGATAGCATGTGTTGGACATGTAGGGATGGAACAGGGGCTGTGATTACCCCCATCCCTGGAAACATTCCAGGTCAGGTTGCCTGGGGTTCTGAGCAACGTGCTCTAGTTGCAGGTATACCTGGTCATTGCAGGGGGCTTAGACTAGGTAACCTTTAAGGATCTCTTCCAACCCAAACCAATCTATGATGTGATTCTGTGATAGGGTTCCAGGAAAATCATGCTCTTACCTCCACAAAAAGTCACTTTTCAGGCAAGCTAAGCTCCACACACACAAACCTCCCTCCCCTCTGGGGCAATTCCCCTCATTCTGGGGTACTGGGACCGGCAGCTGTCCCCAGGGCTGTCAGTGCCACCGAGATGGAACAGAAACGTGGGTGCTTACCGGCCGGGGACCCCGCGCTGCTCCTCTGCGGTGACGTCTCGCAGCTGGCAGGAGAGGAGGAGCCGGGGCTTTGTCTCCCCTCCTCTGTCTGCCTCGCCCTCCGCACCCTGCTTATATATTTGTTATTTATGGAGCACGTGATGACATCCTAAGGAGTTTATAACCCTGATGAAAGACGGAGAGGTGAGAGGCTTTAAGGTGACAGGCCAGCAAACCATCCCATCAGGCTTTTATTTTTTGTCTTTGTCCTGGCATGACTGCCTGCAGAGGGATAAAGCATTTAGCTGATTGCTCTGTGCCGAGCCCCCACCACAGCCCAGGCAGGGAGAGCAGAGGACTTAGCTAGGGAAGGAGAGCAACACACTGTGCCTGATGCTCTGATGGCGTTGGGAGCTTGTCGGAAGCTGCAGGCAGCCCTGCTCTGGGTGGATGAGCTTTACAGCATGGATGGGGACGTTGCTGGTCATGCCAGGTGTGATCATTCCTTGGGCCCAAGAAGTGGAAGTTTCTTGGGGGAATCAGGTGGCTGCCTGTAGGATGGGGGGGGCCAGCCCTAAGGTTTCTGCCTCAAGGAGCTTACTCCAAAACCTGAGCATCTCTCCCCTGCACAGCCCTCAGTCCCTGGGAGCTATTACATAAGAAACTGGATAGGCAAAGCTGGCAATATTTGTCCCTGTCAGGACATGTGTAATAATAGGGGGATTATCTCAGGCACGAGCATGATACTGGCATTGTCATTATCATCACGAACCAGATGCAGCCCTGAAAGAAGCCCGGAGCAGGAGGCAGAGCTGGCTTTGCTCCACTGGAGATGTTTCCAGGGCAGCTCAGGACCTGCTTTAGTTTACAGCCATGGGCAAAGTGACCTGGGGCTACACCTTCACCTCCCTCTTTTAAGTTTTATTTTCATGGAATCACACCAGAAATACAACCCAGCAGCTTTCTGCTCTTTGGAAATGACATCTCAGAGTAGCTCCCAGCCTTTAAAACTCAGCCCAGCAGAGCAAAGGCTGGCCCGTGGCTGGAATAGTGAAGCAGGGTTGCTGCTCGCAGTGGGTTTAGCTGCGTCCATGTCTCCCTGCTCCTACGCAGCTGCAGAGGGTCAAAAACTCCATTAAATGAGAGCCACAGCAGCATGCTGAGATTTACATAATTAGCAGCTCGCTCAGCATCTTCAAAGAGCCCCAAGCTGTCACTCTGGCCCTGCGGCCAGGCTGGTCCCTCTGTTGGGGTGCCTGCTCAGAAAGACAGCAATTATCTCTGAGTAGGATTTGCAGGACGGGGACACGTGAGAGGCAGAGGGAATAAGCTGCTTTCTGTGGCTGGAGCCTTCACAGTCCCTTGGCCTCAAGGGGCAGGTTCTGCCATCACAGGGGATGCAGATGGCATCAGGGTCCTCCCCCGCGTGGCACCAGGAGGGAGGTTTCTCTCCCAAACCCATGTAATTACTCACATAATTACCAAGCTGGATACTCTGCTTTACACCTTCTCC